AAAATTAATTCTACTCTCAAGTTTTATTTAACTTGAGCATCTTCCGCTATCCCTGCTCCTTCTTACTGTGAAGACTACAGCCTACAGTGAAATCACAGAACTTGACACTTAAAGTAGTGATAATCATTATATTTTTGTCCTCTGGAGCTACTGAATTCTTTGTAAGTCTATGTAAACAGGCTGTCTTGCCAAACTGGACAAATAGTGACTGTGTTCTCCCCATAGGTCCAGTGCCCTTGGGCCAGGCTAAACAGTCTGTAATTAACTTACTGATTACTTGGTTACTTGGAAAAAGAACATCCTGTTAGTTTAGTGAGCATTCTGGATTCTCCTGTGGTTAAAAGAGAAATTTCCTTCAGGTCAGATAACTTTGGGTTTCTTTTTAACTCTGTTGCTTTCTGGCATCTTGTAGGATTTTCAAATTTCTCTGATAATCTCATTGTTCATTCATTTTACGGTAGGTATAAAATAAAAACTTGAGGGTGATTAGGAAAAACTTCATTGAAAACATGTATGAAATAGTCAACACTCATAGTTTTCAGTTTTCTTTTTCCTTCTTTTCTCTGTTTCTTTTTGTCATCATCTTGTCGAGAACTGCCAAGTAAAGTAGAAAAATCACCAATCAACATGAGAGTTTTTCCCATAAGAGATAGTTTTGACGCTGAGTGGATAATGTGTGTTATCCTTAGATGTCTTATGTTTGGGTAATTGAGAGATATGTGGAGAGCATGAGATCTGAATATTTCTGTGACTATGAGGATGCATTTAAGGGACCTTTGTATGGACCCAGGTGCTTCAGCATGAACTGATCCATTCCCTGCTATGATGCTATTCATAGCAGTTTACAAAGGAAGACCCAAGAGCGTGTGCTCTCAAAAAAATGATGATTTATTTATCTCTCCTCCACACACTAAAAGACTGGTCCTGAGAGGCTGACACTCGGAGAGAACTGGAGACCACAGGAGCAATCCCATCATGCTCTGAGGCATGCTCCTGTGGCAGTGATGTTGTCTGTTGAGCCCAATCTCTCAACCTTCCCAGACTCTTCTGAGTCCTGTGCCCTGTGGAATCCATGTACTGTCATCCAGCAATTACACTTTTCCCTTCCTCTTCCTTGAATGTGTCATTTTCTTTCTCTGACTGTAATCTGAGCAAGTTCTCTTTTGCTGTTCTCCCAAGATCTGGTCTTCCTGTCAAAAAACCTTGTTTTTTCTGCCTTTTGAAGTATTTGCTTTCAAAATATGGAGTCATAAAGATCTAGGACATTCACCCTCATTTGTGAAATTGCTAGGATGGTATTCCTATCATCTTTTCAGAAGATTTTGTTACTGATGACTCAGCTCCCACAGTCGTACTTCATTGCTGTGAGAGAATACCTTTCCAAATCCCATTTTCAAGCAAGTGTTTTCATCTTTATTCTATATGCACTTTGTATGGGCATCACTTTGGGCCTCCTATTGGATCATTCCTTCACCTTTCAATATGCTGCAATGTGGCCAATCTTAAAATAATCCTACATCCACACTCTCAAATCCCTCTCCAACTTCACCTTAGTTTTCTACTCTATTGATGAGAACTTCTAAATTCACATTTCAATTCTGGCCCAGCCTCTAAACTTCA